TTGCTCGGGGTCCGGAGCGATGGTGCAGTCCTCATACCGGAAGATTCGGCACCAGGCGCGATCCGCAACGACTTCGTTCACCTCTGTCGTGAAGTCCTCGGGGGAGTTCCGCAAACGCATGAGGTCTTCATCTTCTTGGAGTGCTCGCAGCAAGGCAGCCTTTGTAGCCCAGTAACCATCTTACAATCAGGGCATCTTGTTTTGGGGTTGGTTACTTTATAAGGGAACCTTCAGTCCCCCAAAAGAGGGGCAAAAGGGTACCACTGGGCTCCCCTAAGCCCTAAGCCCTAAACCCTAAGCCCTAAGACCTAAACCCTAAACCCTAAACCGTAAGCCCTAAACCCTAAGCCCTAAGCCCTAAGCCCTAAACCCTAAACCCTATACCAAGCAGCATAGTCAGAAGCAGAGACCCCGGCGCTGGAGAGCGCCGACGTGCCGGCGCTTTCCATCCAAACGCTGCCTTTGCGCTCTTCCAGCTCCTGGGTTGGCCCCTTATAAGCCCTTTGAAAATTACATAAATAAATAAATAAATATATATATATATAAACAACATATATATATATATAAGTTATATATATATATATGTATATATACCCTTATATACACCCAAAAGAAAGGAAGTAAAAAACGGCCTCACCTTATAAACACAAATAAAGGAAATCTAAAACAGCCTCACCTTATAAACCCAGAATAAGGAAAATGAGGAAAACTCTTGAAAATGGCCCGAAAGCTAACCTAGGATCAGCAGGAGCCTGCATGGTGTTTTCACCAGACCATTGGCTTCCGGGCAATGGGGCGTCCGGGACTTGTCGGATGTCTAAATTCACTTTGCCCCGCTTGGCGAAGTTTTGTACGGGATCCTCGCTAGAGAGATTCTGTCCATCCCAAAAGCATTGGATAAACTCAGGCGCCCCTCCGAAAGTCTGTGCTGCAATCTCCTTAATGTCACTGATGCGGCCTCCTTTCTGGATCTGCATGGACATGCTGGTGGCTGGATAGCCTCCGCCGCGGCTGTCTTGCAGCATCAAAGTCAGCATTTGACTTCCTGGACGCTTTAACACTGAAGCTGGCCGCTTCGTAGCCGATGCAGCAGGCCTCTTCATAGCCAAGGCCGCAGGCCTCTTCATAGGCAAGGCTGCAGGCCTCTTCATAGCCGATGCGGCAGGCCGCTTCATGGCCAACGTGGCAGGCCTCTTCATGGCCGATGAGCGATGTGCAAGCGCAGTAGACTCTTGTTGGTAATTCAACATCTAGGTCATTGCCCTGCCTAGAGCATGGTCACTTGACAAGAGATTCGCAACGGAATCCGGCGTAACCTAGAACGGTTGAAAAAATGTTGTCATCCAAAGCAGAGACCTAAACCCTAAACCTACAACTCCCAAAATATATCCCCGTTGAACCTTCTTCAGTGCTGGAGTTCAGGCTTCGGGCTACCTCCTAGTGGGGCCGCGGGGTCTGCCCCATATAGTGCAGTCCGGCTTGCAGAACGAACATGTACCGAAACATGAGGTCCTACAACAGGGCCGGGCCCAAGTAGACTGTAGAAGGTACTTTTAAAATGGGATCACAGTCTGAAGAACGAGCCCCCATTCTTGAAATTCTGGTTTTAGAGTCTGCTAGAGTAACCAGGCTACTTGCAGTGGACAAGGGGTAATTTAGAAACAAAAAGAAAGTATGAGGTGATGTAATTGATCGGTATTGAGCTCCTCTTGGGGGGTGTAAGTTCTAAACCCAAGGTATCACCTTGGGTACCCCTTTTGGTTTTAAGGGGCTTATAAGTGAACCTATAAGCCCCCAAAAATGGGTCCTAGTTGCCCGAAACCCTAAAACCTTAAACAAAGCGAGTAAGGGCCTACCCTGGGCCCCAGTGTTCCCACAGCGCCTGCACGCTCGCGCTGCCCGCGTCGGGTAGGGGCTCCCACTGGCTCCGAAACTCCTCCAAGCTCTGCTCCTTGAAGGGGGTTCCATAGGGTTTAGGGTTTAGGGTCTGGGGTTTATAGTTTACAGGGTTTAGGGTTTGGGGGGTTTAGGGGTTGGGTTGAGGGATTGGGGTTTGGGGCTTAGGGTTTAGGGTTCCCCTGAGATGCTTACAGGGTTTGAAAGCACAGGGCTCATACTCTATTCTAAGGCCCCCCCAGCCATGCTGCCTCGAGTTGCATGCTGCATGAAAAATTGCATGCTGCCTCACGGGGCGCACATCGCACTCGTGCGTGTCGGAGGCGTACGCGCGCAATTGAGACAGCATGCAAACATTCAGGCAGCAACCTGCCTGAGGCGGCATGGCTTTGGAGGCTCTTGATATAGGGTTTGCCCGGGATCCTCAAAGTGGCCCTTACGAGGAACGATTCGATCCAAACTGATCTGCCCGTTTGGAACCGATTCACAGTAAATCAACCAAAACTGCTAAGGGTGTGCAAGGTGCAGATAGCTTCAGAGTGACTAACCAACATGCATTGCCGCAATTCTCCTAAGGTTGAAGGCTTTGGTCAGTGTGAACGACTGTTTGTACCAATCTGGCCAAACACCTTAACCCTAAGCCGAGAATGCCTTTTGGGGCAAGGCTCCGGGCCTAGGTTGGGGCTTGAGGAGGTTTAGGGCCGGATCCAAACTCCCCTCCAACCCTCCTAAGCCCTTGAGCGCTTTAGTCGCCCCCAACCCCCCCAACCAAACATTGAAACATCCGAAGCCGAACAAAACTGGTGCCTCATACTACCTCCGATTGGATTTGTGGTTGGCCGCCCTCCACATTTTACAGTGGTCACCGCCCCCCCCCCCCCCCCCCCGCGCCCCCAAAGTTGCCCTGTAATGACCTTACTCTACCATTACCCGAAACCCCAAACCCAGAACCACAAGTAACAAACGAATATCAGCAAGAAAGCCAGCAACCACCCGGGCCTGCTCGGCAGTCTCACAGGGGATCCAGCGAGCCTTGCCATCGTAGCCGGAGTTGCCTTGGACTTCCGGGGATTTAGGGTTTAGGGTTTAGGGTTTAGGGTTTCGGGTTTAGGGTTTAGGGCTAGGGTTTAGGGCTTGGGCCTGAGGATTGTCGGGTTTTTCGTTCTTTTTTTTTTTTTTGTTTGGGGGGGGGGGGGGGGGTTGGCCCTTGCGTTTTAGGATTCCTAGCTCTATGACGTGAAGTCTGGCGCGAAGCAATGCAGTTTAGGGTTTGGGGCAGGCTCCTTTAGCAAAAGCTGCGGTATAGGCCTAGTCGATGAAAGTTGGAATGTTCGGTTAGTTTCTGCAGCACTCATGAAGGGCTCACACGGGGCAGTAGTGGTCAATTGGCTCCTGCGTTACATCTTGAAACCTGTCATTGCCTCAAGCCGCCCCTTACCTACCCCAGAACCCACTGAATCCCTGAATGGGGGGTTTTCGACATTAAGGGGTACCTTTGTGGGGTCCTCATCATACGGGAATCCTACTATTACTACTTGGGATGGGGTACTTTAGGGGTCCCTCTATTTTCGTAAACCCTAAACCCTATATAAAGCCTAAACCCTAAACCCTAAACCCTACACCCGAAACCCCAAACCCTAAATCTGAGCGTGCAGTCAGTGATACCTGCTGCTGGCCTTTTCAGCGCCTTCCGCGTCATCTCGCAGAGCTGCAATCTCCAGCCATGGTGGAGATGGGGTTTAGGGTTTAGGGTTTAGGGTTTAGGGTTTAGGGTTTAGGGTTTAGGGTTTAGGGTTTAGGGTTTAGGGTTTAGGGTTTAGGGGGGCAGGATAGAGGGCTCAGGGGATTCAGGGCCTTTGGGTTTCAAGGTGCTGAAGCTTAAAAGGTCTTGAGGTTCAGGAGCGTTTCGCCTCCGGGCTGTTTCGCGCTTTGAGGATCTCAGGTCAAGCTTCGAAATGTGGATGAGGCTCGTGCCAACTTCTGGTTGCTCAGGGAATGCGTGAAAGTCTCTCAGGTGTTCAAGGGATGCATGCGATCCCAGCAAACGCACTTCCTGCCACAGCCGACGTGCCGCATGCGCAACACCACATAGACGCGAGAGAACATAGAAATGGGCAACAGGAACGTAACTCATCTCCAGGAAGACATTGCACATTGTACATCCACATGGCCAGAGCATGAGAGAATTAGTTGCACACAGAAACCTACACCCCCTAGACCCAGGAGTAACCTAGAAAAAAAGGTTCACGTTTTTTAGTTTAAAGGGGGTTATAAGGAGCCTAAACCCTAAAAAAAGGGAATAAGGGCCTACTCTGGGTCCTAGCCCCTCATGGAGGGCAGCTGCTCAGCAACTTGCAACTTGATTGGTTGTACATCTGCACCTCGGTGCGCCTCGTAATGCAGATCCAACGCTGCCGGGCCACACGGGCCGGAACGAATTCGCTAAACAGTCATTAACAGCCAGGCAATCGTGGGATCCGGTAACTGTGCTCAAAGATTTTGCTTGGCTAGAATTTGGACCATTCTATGATGGTATATTAACATTCTGAGATAATGGATTAATAAAGCATGTATGTTAATGCAAAAATTTTGACCTTATGCTATGTTCAATCATAGGGGTATTTCCCCCAATAGGGGCACCCTAAATAGACCCCAAAGATATAATCTTTACTATGAAGGGTACTCTAAACCCTAAACCCTAGACCCTAGAGCCTAAACCCTAAACCCTAAACCCTAAACCCTATATCCTAAGCCCTAAACCCTATACCCTAAACCCTACTCCTATTTTCGGAAACCCCCCATGCCATTCTTTGGGAATAAGACCCACCCGTGCCTTGCCGAGTACTGCTCTGGCCGGCTCTGCGGACAGAGGCAGAAGCGCAATCCGACGTGGCAGTCAACAGATGTCAACAGGGTTTAGGGTTTCTAGGGTTTCTGGGGTTTCTAGGGTTTCTAGTTTTCCTAGGGTTTCTAGGGTTTCAAAAATGCCCCAAGAGTACCTGAAAGAGAACTACTTACAGTAGGCTCTGCAGATCTCCCGTCAACCTATGACCTGTTGACCGCAGAGCCCGGGAAGGCTCAAAATCTAACCCGACCGTGGGCCATCACACGTCTTCGATGGGATCATCCGAAAGGGCCTCGACCGCTGAGCGTTCACTGAGTCGAGGAAACACACCTTACCTTGACCTTCGTTGTTTTAAATAGCGCATGAGGGCTCCTCTAGCCAACCGCACCCTGCTGCACGTTATGCTTGCTATGGCAAAGTAGGCCGGAAACGGAAAGCATTCAAGGTGCCAGCTGTCAATCCAGAGGTACCTGTTGCGCAAAACCCGTAAGCGTCTGGCAAATCTCCAGCTGTCGGGCCTCAGCATCTCCACATCTGCTCAACTGTGTGTCATAAACAAACGTCGTCCAACCGTGAAAACCTCTAACGCCAACATCGGCGTTGCAGCTGACGCTGCAAAGAGGCGCCTCCGGCAAACAAAGAAAAGAAAACAACAACAACAACAACAACAACAACAACAACAACAACAACAACAACAACAACAACATTGCATTGCACTCACTGCCAGAATCAGCATGTGGACCTCTGATCACTTTGGATCCTCGGCACGTCGGCTACTCTGTATCCGCCTTGGGAGCTCCAGCAGTCTTTGCTAGTTCGTACTTCATGCCCCTCAGGGCTGCTGAAAGATTGTTGTGCACAGCTATGTTCGATTATGTGGAATGCATCCGCCCCTCAGGGCTGCGATAGCGCTGTGCTGGCTGGGCACCCTACGACCGCTTCCTACTGGCTCACCTGCACCCGCGACTGCTGCAGTGCCGGCTGGCCCCGATGTTGTGTTGCAGGCTAGAGCTGTGCGCTAGCTGAGTTTGGTGTGATTAAGGCGGGCAAGTGTGATTTAGAAGGTCTCACCCGCCTTTTTTATTTCACAGTCCGGCCTTTTGGACTTCGAGAGGATCGCTTCCTCCAGATTGCCAGGTCTCACTACCTGCTATACTGAATCTGCTTTGGCAGAGTACTTAAGGATATTCAGGAGGAAACCTCCTAATCTGATGCAATGAATCAATGAAGAAATTGAAGAAATTGAAGTTGGCACGGAGGCAGCCTCCGATATCAAGTACTCAGCACTGCAAAAGAGTGAAAAATAAGCGCGGCTACCCCGACACCCTACTGTGAGTCACTGCGTCCAGCACCCACGCACCAGCTGTTTAGCGAGCCGTACCTCTGGTGAGGCCGACACTCAGCGTTCCTGTCTAGTGACGTCTCACACAGGTAACGCTAAACAACTGGCAGAGGGCCGTAGGCAGAGCGCACCAAGGCGGCCTTGCACGTTCCAAGAAGGATGCCCAAGTTGGAGGCAGGGTAGCTAAGTTTGCGAAGCCTGACCTGGGACGCCTTGCGCGGCTCCTGGGGCCAGCGCTGCGACAGGGCAAAATTGCATTCCTGGTCGAGAAAATGTGACCCCAACTGACCGAACTTGACGAGGAGGTCTCGCATAGGCACGAGTACTTTGCGAAGAGGGAAGCACCTGACCTGGGACACCTTGCACGGCTCTCGGGGCCAGCGCTGCGACAAGGCAAGGTTGCATCCGAAAAAGTGACCCTAAGCTGAACCCACCGACCTGGAGGAGACCTCACATGTTCTGAAGTGCGCGCAGGGCTCTTTCAGATGCTTCAGGTTCAGGGACAAGAATGGGTCAGCTTGGCCTTAAGCTACAGCAGGCAGAACGGTCTACTGTGAGAAACACTACCGGGGAGGAAGCCTCCGGAGGAAACCTCCGCATGTGAAAGTTTCACGCAAGAGACTATACATCTTAGCACGAGATCATGGCTTTATTGCGCGCAGGGCAGCGTTCATGCCGAGTTGCCTTAGGCAACAGCAGGCAGATAGGTCTACTTTAAGAAGAAAGAACACTGCTGCGGAGGAAGCCTCCGGAGGAAACCTCCGCATGCGAAGGTAGAGCGAGCTAGACCCTTACGTAGAAAGCCAAATACGATCCCTGGCAAATTTGATCCGAGAGGAGCGTAGTTCGCCGTGGTGAGCGGTCATCATCCGCGAGATACGCCACTTCTTCTCTCAAAAAACCTGTCCTATAATGCCCAGATCTCCAATCATCTCCTAGATGAATGATGAATGCATATAGTCGAAAGCTGACCACAGCGGTTGTCGTGCCATTATCTATAAACTCTGGAAGCTCCAGAGTTGTGTCTAAAACTTGAGGCCGATTTGTTTTCTCCAAGTGCTCAAACCTTTGGATCTGAATGCAAACCAGGTTCACTCCCGGGAGTAGCCCATAGGTGCTCCCCCTGTGCGCCCACTGAGAAATGGCTTGCTGTAGTGTGGAGAGGCCATCTGGTGGGTCAGGCAAGAAAAGAATCAAACCCCCTCTATCCTCTACGCTGATTCTTTCCACGGGTGCTGTGATTTGAACCCTCGCTTCCCAAACATCTGCTGAAAGCACATGGGATCTCTGAATGATATGTGCTAGAAACTGGGATGCATCTTCTTGCCTGGGTCTGAATCGCCATCCCGTCAGCAGAGGACGTAGCTGTCGCAGCCTACGAACATCCACACTAGAAGAACGACCCCCTACTGCGTCAATTTCCGTCAATATTTGTCTCAGATATGGATCAGAAAGAATACCCTCTGATGCAAGCGAGGCAAGGATATGCACTACTGTGTGTGCATAGCACAGTTGATGCGGATTATGATAGGCCAGAGACCAGGCTGTGACGGGCACTGACGAAGGTCTCCCCTCTGCTGGTGCGTCTCGCTGGGAGCTTGCTGGTGCCTGATGAGACCGAATCCTACTGGTGGAGGAAGCCTCCTGGGAGGAAGCCTCCCTTCCTCTCACCTGGCTAATTGGAGGATCTGCACTGAAGAGATCTGGCAGTTCCATAGGCTTGGCACAAGCTGCACTCATGGCGTATGTCTGAAGCAGAACCACACATTGCTCTGCATGGCGTACTGGAGCATCTACCACAATGCGACAATACCTACATTCTTCTTTTTTGTGCAGGAGGCGCTTATGTGTTCGCATGTTGGCAAGAATGGATGCCGAGGATTGTGCCCAGAAAGCGGGATGAGCTTTCTGAATGTGCTGTTTCACTCCTTTGTGGCCAACAATGTATTGCCCACAGAGACTGCAGTTCGTTAATAGATGCTGAGTGACATGTCTCTTTTTTAGTAGAAGATCAGGATCCTTCTTAAGTTGTTCCTGCACGCTAGACTGATAGATCATAGCTATGCTTTCTGAGCTTGTACAGGATTTGGCTCGTTCTTTCAGCTCGTGCAGCTGAGGGCAAATGCCTGACTCCACATGTCTGCGAAGTTGATGCATTGTGCGCAACTGCCTGTTGCATGCCGCACATTGCGGAAGTCCTTTGCAGCTATGCACAGTGACCTGAAATTTTGGGCCTAGCTGATTCGCACGCTGTCCTCCATGCTTCACCAGAGTATGTTGCTGAAGACCCTTAGCGCTGGAAAATTTCCGATCGCACAGAGAGCACGGTACCTCCTGGTCTGCCTCGATCAGGTCCAAATGCATGCTCTGAAGCTCCTGTTGCAGCGCAACAATCCTACCTCTAAGTCCCAGATGCCACTGTATGTTCTGATCCGGGTTGGACTTCTGACAGGCATCTAGTGCGTCTTGATAGTTTTTCATCTGGCTGATCAAAACTGCTTGAGGAGTCTGAACCTTATATTGCTCGAACAGAGTCTTCGTGTCAATATGGCTGTAGTGCTGATGTTGCTTAAAGATGGATCTTAGCATCCTCGAGTATTTACTCTGAAGCTTCTGAAGACCTGATGAGGTGATGCCAGTGGCCACAAGCCCATGCAAGAGTGAGGATTCCACATAGACCCTCCAGATCTCCAACTTCTTTGAAGCCTCCAAGGCCTTAGTGGAGCACAGGATGTGTCGAAGTAGCTCAAACTTGCCTTGAGCTTGGGCGATCCTATAGTCAACAGTCTGGTCTTTGTAGGATCCATAGCTGAGCTGCACCCCTAGATATGTTAGTTTGTGATGAATCGGAATCTTATGTCCTGAGGGAAGGACGATGTGCAACTGCTTCTCTTTGCGCATCGTGTGCTTCTTGCGAAAGATGGACTGCTGAGTGCCCTGAACCATTAGCAAGGCTTTGGACTTCGTTGGATTGACTTCCAGCCCCACGTCCTCAAGAGACTGAAAGAGAGCCTCTATTCTGAGCAGGACTTTCTGAAGTTCAGGAAAGCTCGAGAAGGTTTCCTGGAGCAGGAAATCGTCTGCAAAGACTGTTAGGATGTCCCTAGCTTGCTTGCTATCTGGGCCCCATTTCTGCTCCATTCTGCTCATGACTAGAAGTGTCAGCGCAGACCACAATGCCGGGGCTAGCTTGCAACCTTGTTTGATTCCTGAAGAAGTGGGAACTTGAATCTCTAGTCCACTTGTGCCCATGTTGTAGGAGGTCTCACTGTGTAGTTGAACTACCAGTTCTTTCGTAACAGGGTCTGTTCCCAGGCGATCCAAGGCAGCTAGCAGCTCATGTCTATTAACAGAATCAAAAGCTTTGCTCAGATCAACCGAAATAGTAAGTGCCCCTGACAGCTGAGCCTGCCTGGCTCCGCGTTGGGACTTGTGCAGGTCCCTGCGATGCACTTGACGGAGCTGCTGCACGAAATCAAGGTGCTGACATGCTTTCGCGATGGCGTCCCGCACCCCCCTCTGCCTAATGTACGCAAATTGAGGCTGAAGTTGTGAGCTCTCCTGCAGTGCTGGTGCAATGCGAGTCTTCACTGCGCCTGCTAGCACTTTGCCTGGCACGCTGATGACTCCTATGGGCCTCAGGTTTTTCATGGCGGTGGCTGGCTTGCCCGGCTTGGGGATCCATGCAATTCGAGGGTCCTTTAGATAAGGGGAAATTTCAGAATGGGACACCTCAGAGTTGATTAGACCTGCTATGTGTTCGTGGGCTTCAGGACCTAGACTCTTCCAAGCTGATACTGGGGCTGAGGTGCTGGGGACTGCTTTCCCCACTGGCACTGTCTTGATTTGTGAGGATACCTGCAAGGCGGTGATCGCTGCTCTGGGCACAGCAGCTACTGAGTGCAAAGGAGAACTTTTGGAGAAGATTTGACTCGAGTATTCGCGCATAGTTTTTAGTGAGGCCTCCGTATCAAGCGGCTCACCTGCTTGATCCCTTAGGTTGACTCTCTGCACTGGGCGCCACGGAGCAAGTTTCCTGAGAGTATGAGCCAGTTTGTGGGATTGTTGCCTTTTATCTTCCTGGGCTTGTAGAAGCAACTGCTCTTGCTTCTCTAGCTTTCTTTGTTTTTGCTGTTTTTTGAAAGTCCGCGCCTCCTCCTTGATGTCCTCCACAAGCTTCTGGCATTCAGAATTATGCTCGGTTCCAGCCCTCTTGTGCGCCTGGATTTGCCGCACTTTCTTCCAGTATTCCTGATGAATAGGACCTGCTACTGGCTGAGACTTGCGTGGAGGAGGATAGTGCTCAGCTGATACACTAACCATCACTTCATCCAGTTCTTGCCAAGACGGTCTCACTTGCATTGTCCTCACCACTGCTTCCGTCAGACGATGTGAGTATGCCTGCCAGTTGGCATCTTTCCGCCGAAAGCTCGCATCCAGGGCTGTGGCATCAAACGGCCGTGGCTTGCTGGGTGTAGGACTGTAAGGAGGAATGAACAGAGTGGCTCGCACTGGAAAGTGTTTTGATCCATCTCTGTAAGCAGCCACAGGAAAGTTCTTATCCGAGTAGGCCTCCTTGGATCTCCTCCGAGCATCGTGCAGTCTGACCAGCAAAAAATCGATCTGAGAGGAATATGTGCCATCACTGTTAGCATACGTACTGCGATGGCCAGAAGCCCATGTGTTCAGCGCAGTTAGTCCACAGGATTTGCAGAGCGAGGGCAGTGTCTTCACATCCGCATTTGCAAACCGTACTCGATGAGGCACACTTGGTCCGATATGAGGACGTTCAGTCACCGCATGCGCATTGAAATCCCCAGCCACAATCAAGAAGTCACGTTGTGGGACTCTCTGTATTCGATTTTCGAGCTGTGTCATCACGTCCTTTCTCCTGCCTCTGTTTTCCGTCTTCGAGAGCTTTGAATCCCAGACGTGCTGGTACAGGTTCAGGAGATGTATTCTGGATCTCTGCCACGGGATCATGACGTGCTGCAAATGCCCTGGAACAATGGAAGTGCTGCGAATTTCTGAAAGAGGAGCCAGTGAGCTATGCACCAAGACAACCAGGCCAGCCTTGTGTCTGCTTGTTGAGCCACAGGTTAGGACTGACCACGGGCCTGAGCTGTAGACCTGGTCCTGCTGCCAATGCGATTCCTGCAGGAAAACGATTTTGATGTTCTTGTACTCTGTTGTTGCCAAAAGGGCCAGAATCTCGTTCCAAACTCGACTTGTAATTGAGCCTGCGTTCCAAGTAAGGACTTCCATGTCAAATTTGTGATGGATCTGTCTGTTCGGTTGAAAAGAACGCCTCTCCGCTTTCGCAGGAGACGCGAA